TCCCTCCTCTTCTGGGCAACCACTGGTCTAGCTCCGTGGATTAGTTTGCATTTTCTAGAGTATTCTGGAAATGGTGTTATCTCATGTATATTTCCTTCTACCCTGTTTTACCGTTGCCCTAAGATTGGTCCACCTTGCATATCAGTAGCCTTACACTTCTCCCCATTCCCTCTGCCTTACTAAAAACCACTAGGTTACATCTCCCTAGAGCAACCCACCAAGGTCTGCTTGTTCTGTTTGGCCACTTCCTCCTCCTGATGCTGACTAACAAGGTCCAGCAATCAGAAGCCCCCTTAGGCTCACCTAATTAACACGCCCGATCAAAACTAAACACCTCATCCTAACCCAGGCTTTCCCCGTTACCTACATAAACGGCCATTTCCCTAAGGGCACGTCTGTCTCCTCTCTATCCAGAGGCAGTCCTTTGTCCCTCTGGGACAAATACCCTGTCCCCTGTCCCTTGTCCCCTTCCCCTTCTCCCTCATCCCCTACCTCCTTCACCGCAGCATCCCAGCCCACTCTAACACAGACCTCCCTTCTTCTCTTAAAATTACACCCGCAAGGGCATTCACTGCTGTTTGTCTGCCTGAGTCAGAAAGCAGTCACTTTAACTTTTCTTCCCTGCTTAGGAAAGGGTCTCTCTGTGAAAACAGGTGTTTGGGTGTGGTCTGTGCCTGATCCTGGGTCTAGGAGGGAACCCTACTGTTCAGGGGTCCCCTTCAGTAAGTGCTCTGAATGTGCCCCAAGGCAGAAGCCCAGATTTGTGCTTATTTTCTCCAGGCATGATGTTTATTGTCAATTTAAAATGAATTGTTTTATTATTTTGTGATTATGTGTGTGAGTATTTCTGTGTGTGCATGTAAGTGCGGGTGGTCCTTGGCCCTGGGTTATGGTGGTTATAAGCCATGTGACAGGGTGCCCTGCAAGAACACGCTGTGCTCGTAACTGCCGAACTAGCTGTCCAGCCTCCACTCATCTCTTAGCTGCATCACTTCCAAGTCCGTTTATTGAATTTTTAGTTTTGCTAGTTTGGATTTTGTTTTCTTGTTTTTTTTTTTTGTAAGACTGGCCTAAAATTGATTATATAGCCTAGGCTGGCCTAAAGCTCATAGTGATCCTCCTGCCTCAGCCTTCTGTATTCCTGTATGCTGGGATTATAGGTATAAGCTACCACACATGGCTTGGTTTGTGCTTTTTAATGTCCTATTTAAGGAAAGTCAAATAGCTTAATATTGTGGAGAGTGTTGTGACCTTGTATCCCACCCAAAATCTCAGGAACCCCTAGGTCCCTGGAGCACGTATGGGAGTCTGCTACTTGAGGAGCTGACAGAACAGAGAAGGGCTATCAGTGCATGTGCAGGGAACACCACACGAAACCAGCAGCCATCTCCAGCTGCAGTTTGCTGCTGCCCCCTCGCTGCTGTCCTCAGCGGTTTGAAGAGGCAGCAGGGTCCGTGTGACCACCGGGCCCACAAGATTGATGGTTGCATTTAAAAAACTCACACAGACCTAGAGTCAACGCTAGAAAATACAGATTTAAATTAGCAAAGGAAAAGAAGAACCAAAGGAAATAAATTGTGCTGGCAACTACTGTCACGTAATAAAATGTCATCTGTAACTGAAGGGCTTTTGCACAGGGCTGTCTGAGGCTTGGTGGCCATGTTAATTGAATAAGGCGCCTCACATTGACTTGGGGGCAAGAATGAAATTTCCCTTAGCATCTATTTAGCTGGAGTTGTTGTTGGCAGCAGTGAGATGCTCATCTGTTACAGAAGCACCAGCCACTCTGCATTGATGTAATGGCTCCGAAGCAGCACCCAGCCCTGGCTCTGCAGGAATAGCCTGTCTCCTCAGGGCAGGTCTTGAGGGAGGAACTGCCTGGAGGCCTTTCCATCAACCTTACATTGGAAAAATTGTTACCTGAATCAAGTCACAGTTGTTGATGACTGATGATCCCTAAGACTCCCAAGGAGAAGGCCGCCTACCCTCTAGGTTTCCTGGTGTTAGGCAGTGTCTCCACAGCCATTGTGTCTGCCTATGGAGTGGTCCCTTTGGAGCCCGCTCCTGTGATCCTGCTGTTCCTCTTATACAATAGGCACCAGCCATGGTCCCCTCCTTCAGTGTGTTGGTGGCATTTGAAGCCATGCAGCCCTTGGCTCAGCTGAGCAAACGGACTGTCATCCCCTGTGAAGTCCTGTCCCTCCCTTCTCTGCTACACTGCAGGGCCATGATCTCGTCTCCATTTGTCCAGTTTCAAATATGGGAATTAGATTGCCCCCTCTTCTTCATAGGTGCCAGCAAGGTCCATGTAGCCATTGCCTAAGATTTGCACAAAGGCCTTGAACTGTTTCAACACACAGCTGTACCATAGCTTCAGCTGTCCCCCCATTGTTTGGTATCACCGGCTTTATAAGCCATGCCACGAGGAAAGTATTTACTGTTTATGTAAAGGTATCCTTGAATCAGAGGGAGCTGCATTTTCCAAACCGTTAAGCAGCCCAGTCCTGAGGTTGAGAAGGAGGCAAGTGGGAAGCCTTGCCGGAAGATTCCCAAAGTTATCCCTAATTACCAGTCAAAATCAAATTTGTCCATTCTGCAAGTCCTGGGTAATTTCACAGGGTCTCCCCTGACGTGTGCAAGTGACGCTGTACGGGGCGTTGTTCTCGGCACCGGGGAGCTCCAACTCTGTCCCACAGAGGGGGACTTACAGAAAGCAGGGTGGGGGTGGCCAAAGCAGGTATCTGTGAGGCGGCCTGGCTGGAGAAGCCAGCCTCTGGACGCTGCAGGAGAGTATGCCTGGCAGACAGAAACAGCAGATCCCTGAGCAGGTCTGAAGGCCAAAGGGATAGGGCACAAAAAGGCTGAGCTGGGGTTGGTGAGTGTTGAGTGTGGAGGCTGGGCTAGGCCCAGGGCCTCACAGCCAGCGAGAGGCAAACTAAAGCGGAGGAGAGTCCCAGTGAGGCCCTCAGGAGCCAGCACTTGGGGGTGGTGCCTTCAGGAAGGAAGGGTTTCCTTGGGCTCACCACCTGAGAGTGCAGTCTATCATAGTGCTGAAGGCGTGGGGACAGCTGAGGTGTCTGGTCACTGTGCCCACGTCAGGAAGCACAGATGAGCCTGCCACTTGGCTTGTTTTCTCCTTGGTCAATCAGGGGCCCCAGCCTGTGGCATGGCGCCCTTCCTAGTTGGGGTAGACCTTCCCACCTAATCTGGAAACTCCCTTCCTGGCATGCCCAGACATTTGTTTGCATGGAGAGTCTAAATCCCATCGTGTTGCCAAGGTTAACCCTTGCTCGCACCAAGTTAAAGGGTTCACTCATACCACCTGTGAGTGACGCCTGCTCTGCTGGCATCACAGCCTCTGTCTGCTGGGAGATGACACGTCTTTCAGAGGCCACCCAGCTCCAGCACTGAGATTGAATCTCACATCCAGTGAACTCTGGATGGCAGTGCCCTTGATCCACAGAGGGCCAGGACACTAGCTGTCTATGTACAGTGCCCTGTCGCTTGTTGGGGTTGCTGTCCTAGTGTATGGCAGGGGTCCTGAGCCTGTGACATTGTTGGCTTCAGAAACATGGCCAGGACACTACCATCCTGCCTGAGTGACCTCTCTCCATCCTGATGGCCCAAGTTTAAATAATAGTCATAGTTACCTGCAGAAGATGCGGGGATCCGCTGTCTCTCAATCCCACACTTCTTACTGGTTTTGCCGTGGAGGGGCCTGTTTCCTCCTCTGTAAGTTGTCATCTGTGGAGGTGATTAGGTGTTGGATGTGAGGCTGGCCACCCTGTGTCTGACACTAGAAACTGGAACCCCACACTCAGCTCCTCTCACCTACGCTGGAGATCTCTCCTCAGCTCCAAATCCCTGCTTCCTTCCTGAGAGAAGAGTGAGTTCAAAACAATGTAGAAACTTGATTTCTATTTAACGTTTGTCTGCTGAGTGGCTCCTCAAAGACTTAGGTCTGTCTTTGTGCTCTCTTGGTTCCATATCCGCACCCTTCATCACCCCGTGCACATAAGCAGAAGCCTTCGTTTCTCCCCCTGTGAGTTCCTGGCTGCTGTGGCGCTGCCTTCCTCCTTCACCCACGGTAGAGAGGCATGGGACCCACGAGTCCAGTGGGAAACACCGTGCAGACAAGTGTGAGGACAGCCAGCAGAAGGACCAAGAGGATTAAGTTCAACACTCGATTGGGTTGACAAGTATTCAATAATTGCTCTGTAAAAGAAACTGTCCTAGCAAATGGTGCGAAGTTGAGATCTGGCTCCGCTTGAAGGGTGAACAGGAATTCTGACGTGATTACCCCGCCGGCATCTTTACTTTGAGTGATAGCTGGGTGTGTATATATATATATATATATATATATATATATATATATATATATATATATATATATATATATCCCAAGCACAGGCGACTGAACAATCCCAAGCCGGCCCCTAGGCATGCCCCATCAGGGTAGTCCTTGTCGGTGTTGGCTGGAGGCAGCCTTGAGCGTGTTGATGGGTGCTTGCCCTTGACAGAGGCTCACATCTGCTCTGCTCACTGGCTCGCACATAGCCGGCTCTGCGGACTTAGGGAAGGTGGTTTCCTGAGCACCTACTGTGTCTTTTGGCCCAGGGGGCACATGACGCAGTGGCTCAAAGCCAGGTGCCACGCTCACCGCCAGAGGTTGCTAGTCTCCTAGGTCCACCCGATAGTAAAATCCCCACCCGCTGCGGTGGGTGAGAAAGTCAGTGTTTGGAGCCTGAGTGTTTGGGTCATATTAATGCATTGCATGGCACCCTGAGGCCTGGGCCACCCTGCCAGCCTCTATGGACTGCCCTAAAGGTGAATAACATGGCTGCTGGTTCCCTGAGGGCCAAGGCTGAAGGAGAAGATGGAGGTCTGCGGAAGCACCTGCCCTGGCCGCTGCTGTTGAGCTGTGGACGACATCATGTGCTTTCTGGGTCTAGGGCCCACTGCACACTCCTTGTAACCACTTTCTCCCCCGTCTCTCTCAGGCACATCTCACTGACACTACCGGCTACATTCCGAGGCAGGAACAACACCAGTGCCGACTATGAGTACCAGCTCTCCAATCTGTATGCCATATCAGGTATGTGGGCCACTGTGACAAGCCAGTGCAGAACCGTGCTTGCGGCCACCTCCTCCATACTGCTGCTCCTCGCCTCACCACCCCCACCCCAGAGACCTTCCCTTTCCTTTGTGTTGCAACTGAGAGAAAGGCCAAATGCATGTTTGAAAGCTAATGACGAGCACTGTGGGGTTCTCAGGCTGAGAGAAGGTTGGGGTAACCTCACCACATCCTTCACCTGCCAGCCAGGCAGCCCCCCACCACACACACACACACACACACACACACACACACACACACACGCACGCACGCACGCACGCACGCACGCACGCACGCACGCACGCACACACTGCAGTGCTGAGCGGCCATGTTCCTGCCTGTCCTCACCTCCTGTTTCTCACAGCTAGCGTGTGTCCAGTGGGGACACAGCCTCCTTCCCCTCACTTGCCCAGAGTCTGTCTGTGGTCTCTGAACTCATGGATAGTGTTACTGTGGTAGGAACTTCACCAGCCCTGGTTTCCCCGGCACCTTCACCAGGGAGGGGAAGTGGGGCGGACTTGCTGTATTGCTGAGATTCATGAGCTGCGAGGGTGAACAGGTGACCCACTAAGAGCCCGGGAAACCCACAAACGCCTCCCGTCGCTGGGGCCCTGGACAGGGGTGTTTGTCTGTCAGGGGAATGTGGTAAATCATTGCCACTTACCAGCACACATCCTTAATGCTGACTGACATTTTGAACATGGGAACATGACATTCATTCATGCCCCATAATGAATCGGTTATTTAAAAGGTAATCTCCCTCTCTCCCTCTCCCTCTCCCTCTCCCTTCTTTTCTAAAAACTACAACTTCAGCTTACTAAATAGATGAATTCCAGCAGTGGCGTGATTCTTGTCAGTGTTCGTTTCTCTCGTTATGATCACTCCCTAATAGGTTTGGAAGTGAAAGCAAAGGCAGGTTGTTCCATATCTAGGCAACACTCCTGCTGGGAGTGGGGAGCCCCAAGTCTAGGCCCTGGCTGCACTCCAGGATCTGGGACGGGGGCGGGGAGGGGGGGGCGGTGAGTGTGTGACTAAGAGAAATGTCTCTGGGGAGCATTGCTTCTGCACCACGGCTGTTTCAGAGCGTCGTCAGGGAACTTAACAAGTGTGGAAAGATGGCCTGTTTTGTAGAAAAGCTGACTATTTCCCACAAGCTCAGGGGCAGAGCGGTTTGTCAGAGGACTGTGAAACCCAGCTCCATTCCCCTCAGACCCTGCAAGGACAGTGCCCTCACACACGTCTTGCCTTCTGCATCTTGCAAGCCTTACAACTTTGACACTGGGCTGCACCCGCCATCCCTGTGTCCTCTGATGGCTTTCCCAGCTGTCAATGCTTCCTCAGCAAATGGCCCACAGGGCGCTTGCTCTGGTGTGGTAGGAATGTTACCTCTGCCTCTGGACTGCTGCTTCCTCAACACAGCTTTGATGAAGTGTTGACTGGGCTCATTTCAGCTGCTGGTTTAGCAATAGCAAGGTAACAGCCTCGGGACACAGGGGAAGCTGGTCAGAAACTTCCTGTCCCATTATGTAAATGACAATCTGTGGCATTTTATCTTCAGAGGTAGTTGAGGTTCCAGCCCAGGCCACAAGCAGCTCAGGTTGCAGGCACCAGATCACTGTGCTGGGAGCAGAAGTGAGGCCCTGGGGTCTCCGCGAGGCCTGCCAGGCTCACCGTGGTGACTGTGCAGGGACCTGGGAAGCTCATCCGCCCTCTTCAGTCCTCCTTTACTGGCCTGGGTGGATGCTGTCAGGCAGGAAGGGAGATACTGAACCAGCATCTGCTCTGCCCAGAAACACAGTGTGAGAACCTTCAGTCTACAGTCAGGTAACCTGCCACCCACTCCAGCAGCCTGTTCCCAGTGAAGCCTTCCCTCTCACAGCCATCCAGACTTTTGGTGCTCATCAGACAGTTCAACCACGATCTACTCGGTCCAGAGGATTATTTCTTGCTCGTGGGAGAGAGTAAGAAACTCAATGGCTCAGTGCTAAAATTCTAGAATATTTATATTCCTTGTGTTGCCATCTTGAACCACACACACACCTCCCCTTCCCCGCAAAAGAAGCTGTGAATGGTCCTTTGACCCTCCACCTTCCTCCCTGGGACTGTTTTCTAGAACATTCTTACAGATGTGCAATCTCACTTACCAAAAGAAGGGGGGGAGTGCCCACCAGGGTGAGGACTGTAGCTTTTAAAAGTAATACTGTGACGTGGGCAGGGGGAGGGGTGTCTCTTACATGTCCAGGACAGGAGTGTCCTACAAACTGTCGGTCAGTGGCCTGGATTCTTAGCTAGCCATAAATAAAGATAAAGTACACAGAATGTTGCCAAGTAAGAAAAGAAAAGAAACCAGTTGAGTGTTCAATGAGATCTCATTTTAAAATGCAAGTTCTAGAAAAGCTCTGCACCAGCGTGTGTTGCCTGTACCTCTCTCACCGTCCCTCTCATGCAGCCCTTTTCTGCCTGGCCTCTGAGATCTGTGCCCCTGGAGGCCCCTCTTGGCCTCAGCACCACAAGTGGATTTGACTAGATCCTTCCACAACCAACCCTGTAGACGAATATTTTTCTTTTTGAGCATATCTTATTTTTAAGCTACTTTTAAAAAGGTTTATTTATTTTTATTTTATGTCTATGAGTGTTTTGAATGCATGTATCTACACACACTTTGTGCTGCCTAATGCTCACAGAGGTCAGAAGAGGGCACCAGATCCCCTGGAACTGGAGTTGCAGATGGTTGTGAGCCACGGTGTGGGTGCTGGGAATTGAACCCAGGTCCTCTGAAAGAGCAGCCAGGGCTCATAACTACGGAGCCATCTCTCCAGCCCAGCATCTCTTATTAACCGAAAGTCTTCTATTTGGGCAGTTTGTCCCTGTCAGCAGTAGCAAGGACAGAAGCACAGCTGTACTCTGTTACCTGAAGTTCCTAGGTTCTTTTAGGAACCTAGACTCAAGTGAAACAGGACACAGTTGGCTTTGAAACTAAAAGGAATTTTCGGATGAGCCAACATGAAGCAGGGTTGTAGTTGATTAAACAAGAGAGGCAGCTCTGGGGAGAATATGGCACCTGGAGTGTGGGGGTGGACTTCTCAAAGACGGGTCAGCTCTATATCAGCTGTGTACTGACTCAGTGGCTCCCAGGTTAACCTCAGGGGGTTCTTAAGAAACCACCCCCCTTTCTGACTAATAAGATTGCTTTTGGATTCTGAATGTTCCTTGGATAAAACTCATATTCTCTGCAGTCATACAAAGAGTTTGGGATGTGTACTTTCTGTAAGGGGGTTTCTGATGGGAAAACTGGAGGTTTGGGAAAGTGTGTTGGGATTTCAATGCTCAGCTAGTGAGAACTCTTAGGTAGAGCCCAAAATACATACAACAGAATCAACATGTCTGTGTGGGAGCAGGGTGGGAATGTTGGGTGCAGCTGTCTGGCTGTCTGGCAGTGGCTTCTGGATTTGGCTCTGGGTCTCTGGTCGGTAAGATAAAGAGCGCCGCTTGCTTGGGGAAGTGCTGGGTATCCTTTTTCTGATCACAGAGAATAACCCTTCTCCCCAGAGCATCGCAAGTTGGGGACAACTCCAGGTGTGCTCTCCTGGAAGCTGAACAAAGCGACAGTGGCTCTGTGTGTGATCTTGCTGCAGCCAGCCCTGTCTCTTCAGTTCCTCTGTCTGTGAGGCGCCCCAGATGGTTAATAGGCCCACAGATACATATCAAAAGCCTCAGGTCCATCAGGCAACTTTGTATGTGGGTAAGGGGACTATAAATATTTACACGGGAGGGGGGCACAGTTCTATTCATAGCACACCCTCGACTTTCTGTGCTTGATGAGAACAGTCCATGCCGCCTTGCGGAAGAGTGTCCATTCTCGGTGGAAACGACCCGCACCACTTGAGACCTCTGTGAGACGCATACTAGGGCACTGGATCCTCCTCCCAGCTTCCTGCCCATAGCCATGGAATGCTATGCCAGGCATCTACCAGGAGAGGCACGGCCGTAGCAGAGGACCCCCATGAGGGGGGCTTAGCCAAGCGGTCTCGATGCCACTTTCCTAACCCAGGGTGCTGCTGCAGGTCTGTGGCAGATGTGCTTAACAAACGAACCCCCGAAGCAGCAGAGGAAGCTGGGCTGCTCAAGTCTTTGTTGGCTGCAGTTACAAGCTTTGCAGAATTGCCTCTTTATAATATTTTTTGAAATTAAAATAGAATTACATTGTTCCTCCCTTGCCTTTCCTCCTTCCAATTACCTTTTAAACACCAGAAAACTAATTTTTTAAAGCAACGCTAACATTGGAGTTTAAGGTAGTAAAATTAAGCAAGTGAGGAAACCCAAGCTTCCCAACATGTAGGCCCTGAGGAGGCGCCACAGCACAGAAACGCCAGCACCGGTGCTGAGCAGAGGTGGGGACTCGTCCTTGTCCACCACCCGGGCAGGTGGTCCCACCAATAGCATCACTGGCCCATTGGCATCATTGACCACACACAAAAGTGAAAGCCAACCCAGACCTGCCCCCCCCGGACCTGCCCCCGCCAACCCCCAGTCTTCTCTTTGATTACTAGAAAAACCATCTTCCTGACCTCCATGGCTACTCTCTTAAAAACCGACTTCCTTTCAGGACATTTGATACCCAGGAGGCCTGAAGGTTCTGGGGTCAAAGCCCTCATCAGGGCAGAAAGGAGGACAATTTTATCTGAAACACAGATCTATGGATGAGCTGTGGAACTCTGACGTGGGCTGCGAAGGCACGAAGCAATTAAAAATAATTAATGATTTCTGAGGATCAGCCCTTCTCTATGCAGTTTTAATCCAGTTCTCATTTAAATTGGAAGATGGACATTTAATTATCAGTATTATGAAACCCGTGATTTATACATTTCATCCAATGGGATAAAAATTTCTGCCAGCAGCTCTTCATCTTGTGGTGAAGAGTCTGTGTGTCTTGGGGGGTGGGGTGCTGTCTGGCAAAGAGTCTGTGTCTTGGACTGCTCGTT